TGCTCAATGCACATGAGTGCACACAGAGACTTAAAAAAAAAAATTTAAATGAAGAAAAAAGAGAGACACTACGTGTAGCTGATGGGAGATCTTAGAAGAGGTAGGATCGGGAACTATAAAATGCAGACTCACAGACAGACAGGTCACAGAAATCCTTATTGAGAACAGTTTGTATGTGCCACAACTAGCAAATAACTTGCTTTCAGTAAGAGTTCTTGCAAAGAGAGGAATGGTGACCTTATTTGGGGAAAGATGTCTTATCAAATGAGATGGTGAACTGATTGCAACAGGGAGAGTGCATGAAGATTGATGCGCTCTGGACACATGCACACAAAGTGCAAATTTGACCAAACGTTGCAATCATAAGAAACATCTCAAGTTATGGCACCAAAGATTTGGGCATAGAGATAATTAAGCAATTGCCCAACTTGAGAACCAGAATTTGACCAAAGGTATACAAATAAATAAATGTACAATTGAAAGGAATTGCATGCATTGCATCCAAGCAAAGAGGACAAGACCAAGTTTCATCAACAATCATGAACCAAACCAAACAAGGCGCCCCCTGGAGCTCATTCATAGTGATGTTTGTGGTCCAGTGAAAACAGAGACCTTTTTTTAACTTTCATTGGCAATTTCTCTAAATGCACTGTTACCTACTTGATCAGGGAGAAGAGTGAAGTATTTGAAAAACTCAAGGCGTATGTTGCAATGGTTAGCAACAGGTTACAGAGGAAACTGCTGGCAATTCGAACTGACAATGGAGGAGAACATGTGGGACATGACATAAAAAGGTATTTAACTGAACAAGGTATTGAACATCAACTCACTGTCCCATACACACCAGAACAAAATGGCATAGCTGAGGGGGGAAACCGCTCCCTGACAGAAATGTGCAGATGCAGGTTACTAGAAGCGGATCTATCAGAGAAATACTGGGGAGAAGCCATCAACACAGCCACTTATCTACAAAACAGGCTGCCCACAAAAGGTGCTGAGAGCATGCTGTATGAACTGTGGTATGGACAGAAACCCAGCTTGGAACATCTAAGGGTATTTGGGTCAAAAGCCTTTGCCTACACCCCCAAAGAAAAGCGGTCCAAGTTGAATTTGAGGATTGAGCAAGGTATTTTTATTGGATAAGAACATAAGAACATAAGAGAAGCCAATGTTGGATCAGGTCAATGACCCATCCAGTCCAACACTCTGTCACACAGTGGCCAAACATACCAGGAGCCATCAGGAGGTCCACCAGTGGGGCCAGGACACTAAAAGCCCTCCTACTGTTGCCCCCCCCAGCACCAAGAATAAAGAGCATCACTTGCCCCTGACCAAGAGTTCCTATCTATACCTTGTGGCTAATAGCCACTGATGGACCTCTGCTCCATATGTTTATCTAATCCCTCCTTGAAGCCATCCATGCTTGTAGCTGCCGCCACCTCCTGTGACAGTGAATTCCATGTGTTAATCACTCTTTGGGTGAAGAAGGACTCCCTTTTATCTGTTCTAACCCGACTGCTCAGCAATTTCATTGAGTGCCCATGAATTCTTGTATTGTGAGATGTAAGGGATATAGAATCCTTGATCCCAAAACACAAACTATACGAATTTACAATATAATCTACATAGACAAGAAGGAAAAATCTAAAACTACAGAAAAAAATGGACACTATAGAATCCAAACCGATGGAAGACAATAAAATGCATCAGCCAGAAGCAATGCAATCAACCACCTTTGAACCTACAGGTGACACATCAGAAGATCCCCAACCAGAAGAGGATGAGGAACCAGATGACAGATGATTGGCGAGATTCAACAAGAGAGTACTACCAAGAAAACTCTCCTACCTGACCAAAAGAGAAACTGCAACGGAACCTTCCACATGGGAAGAAATAAAGAGAATGCCCGCTGATCAGGCGGAAAGATGGAGAAATGCAGCAGAGGAAGGAATTAAATCTCAAGTCAAGAATCAGAAATGGGCATTCACAGAAGCACCTCCAGGAAGGAGGGTATAATACAAATGGATTTTCTAAATTTACAGTTGTTAAACTAGAACACTGTGTTGCAAAGCTGAGATTTTATGAAGAAAAATGAATCTTGTGGACTTGCAGAATAGACCTTGAGAAGCAGTGTTGGAATATACAAGGTCTATAGTGCACCTACTTGAAGAAGATCAGAAGCACAGCCTTATAAGGGGACAGCTGAAGGACTGCTAGTTAGCATTGCTAGAATAATAGGAAATTCCCACAGTTTCAAATTATGTCCTCCCTGTCTCCTGGTTGGCTCTTTGGAGACTTCCTGCTCCAACTGACTCTTCCCCCTTTGTTTCTGTCTCTCCCAGCAGTTAGTTAAGCCTCTCTCCCGCTCTTCTGTTCTATCAGAGTTTATTTCTTTTTTAATAAACTTTTCTTGAAACAGTTGGTGCTCCGTTCCGCTGCTTGTTTGAACTCTGCCAACAGGCCCCACCCAGGCAGTATATACAGGAGTCATTTGGGGCCGGAGCGAGCCGGAGCAGTGCTCCGGCAGCCCAGGAACAAGCACAAATGGCGGTGGCGGCAAGCCCCGCCCCCAGCTCCCAGCAGGCTTGTGGAGGAAGCGAAGAGAGCAGGGGTCTAAAGTTTAAACTCCTTCTCTCTAGAGTTGCACCACAGCAGCGGATGATCTCCTATTGTATCCTATGGCCCCATAGAACACAATGGAAAGATCATGCTGCTGCTGCGGCGCGACTCCAGAGAGAAGAGGTTTAAACTTTAAACCCCTGCTCTCTTCGCTTCCCCCCCACCTTGGTAGGCTGCCTGGGGAAGGGGAGGGGAGGCTTTTAAAGATGCCCCCCCTTTTGCTTCCCCTTCTGACACACTCCCGGTGATGTCAGGGGGCGTGGCGTATTCTAATGACTTATACTAATAGATATGCTAATGAGCCTCTGCACCTCTTTTTCTACGAAATGGCCCCTGAGTATATAGAAGATGCTTAGGACTGGCCGATGCCCTCACCTTTTGCCAGCGTTACGGGAGTGTTTGTTCCCAAACGTTGCACGAGGGTTCCTAGTGACTGCAAGAATCCAAGAAATGAGACCACTGCATCTTACTCTCTCCAAAGGGAAGGAATTGTGAAACATCCCCCACAATGTGTACATGATTTCCTTGACAGCTGCAGAGCTGAGGTGTGGTTTATCAAATGGGCAGAACTAACGGCATGAAACTGCCCTCATAAAGAGACCATTACTCAGACCAAACCAAAGCAAACCCAAAGCCCTGGGCAGCTGTCAGCTATGCTGCCATGGGGGTTGGGATGTTCTTTCAGTGTCTGTGTAAATTGCTTTCGCATTCCTTTCTCTCTGCTTTGTGCTGAAATGCTTATCTCTAAAGAAGTACAGGTGGTGATGTGTGTTGTCTGCCTTCCAGGCCAGCCGTGGGAGCCGCACAATTCCCAGCTTCGCATAGTAACGCTTGCTGGCTCTAGCCCGCGCGCGGGAGGGTGCCTAATTGGCCAGCGTAGTGGGGGGTGCATACGAATGCCCTATATCTCATTAGGTTCAAGAGGCAACTGCTATTCTTAACAGTGACTACGTTAATGCATCTATGGCTCTTCAATAAAAGTATAACCTTTCTAAAGAAGTGTGTACTCCGTTGTTGGCTGTGGGTTCTGACAGCAGCCTGAGTTCTCTTGCCCTTTCACTCACAGCATTGCCCTTGGATTCCTGGAAGGGGGAGTTTACAGTGGCCAACTGAAACATAAGTGCATGCTCTATAAATAAATTATTTTTAAAACCTTAAAGGTACCACTGAATTTTCTTCATACTCTTCTTAATCTAAACGGGGCACATGCAGATGCCAGACCCACGGGTGAAGCATGCCTCTCTTATCCACCGGTGTGTCTCCTGGAAGGGTGGCAGCATCCCAGGGTCTTGTAGCTTGATTGCTGCGCAAGCATTCTGCAAGTATTCAGAGTTCGGTGGTGCCAGATTTCATGGGGGCTTAGTGCATCATGGCTGGTTGTGAAAGAACTAAAATATTGTTAGAAGTGGAGGACTTGGCACTGTCTCCTGCCTCAGATTTGAGAAGATGGCACCAAAGAGTTTAGACAGGTAGAGAGGTCAGGACACACAGAGCTTCCTTTCCTTCCTGCTATCTGATCCTTTCCTTTGAAGTAGAATGCTACTCTTAGGGGCAATCTCCTCTGCTTCTGCTCTCTCACTCTCTTCTCTCTTGCGCACACACAAAAGAAGGTGGCTGATCACTCCATCTTGCACCATGGAGGCTGGACATGCATCCAGCATCCAACACCATCTAGTTAGTTGGAGCAGGTAATCTATCCCTATCTCTTACCTGCACTCTCCAGCATGTGTTCCCTTTAATAAAAGTTGCTCATTGGCTTTAGAACTGACTGCTGACTGCGTGGCCCTTTGTAAGTCTGCTGCCACATCCAGCCCCAGCTCTGCTGCGCTAGAGCCTTTGAGCGCTCTGCTACTTTTTTTGTGGTTCCCTGGCAGTAGCAAGTCCGGAGAATCCGACAAATATCACGGGGATGTGCAACATGGGTGTTCTTTATTTGCAAGAAGTAAATGATTATTAGCAAAGAAGGCCAAGGTAGGCTGCCTGAAGTTGTTCCTGTTTTAGGTTGTCCCAGTCCAGGTTCTTAATAGCATGAAAGTGACCCCTCTGTACAAGACAGGTTTGAGTCCAGTAAGGCCTCAGAGACCAGCCAGACTTTGGGGGGTATATAAGCTCGCAAGAGTCAAAGCTCCCTTTGTGAGATCCCTGAGGAAGGGAGCTTGGACTCTCAAAAGGTCACACCCCAGAAATCTTGCTGGTCTCTGAGGTGACGCCGGACGCAAATCGAGCCATTCTGCTGCAGACCAACACGGCTGCCCCCCAGGACCACCTTTGTGCCAAAGAACCCGTGTTCATTCCCCAGCAAGCTGCCCCCTTGTCTAGAGATGGCTTTATTGATGTCAGGGAGTTGTCATCTGCTCATGGCTGTCCTGTTGTGCTTGCAGCCCTGCTGGATCTAACTGGTGTACAGGAAATTGAAGGGACCTGGAAAGCATCCGTCCGCTTGCCATGTGTATATGAACCCTCCGCTGACTTCACACAGGAAACCGTCTTGTGGAAAACCTCTCTGTCAGGTGACGGCATCAGGACCATCTTTCGCCGGGATCCTAACTCTGGGGATCAGACGCTCTTGACGCATTTCAAAAACAGAATCCGTATTCCGAAAGACCCACCTGGAGATGTCTCCCTCCTGATTGAGGACCTGGATATGAGTGATCGTGGGCAGTACACCTGTGAAGTTGTCTGGGTGGCAAGAAACAAGAACCGGATGAGAAAGGAGAGGATGACGGTCCTCAGAGTCATTAAAGGTAACCCCCACAGTCCACAGGGCATGCCGTGGGTGAAGATGGCATTAGTTTTGTGAAATTTATACTGAGCTTGCCTTATGCAGGTTTCTAAACTTTGTTTGGCTTTTCCACAAGCAATGGGGATGAAGGGCAGGAAAGGCTCCCCAAGCCATTCTCTACCCAGAAACGTGACCTTCTTGCAGATGCCGCACTCCCATCCTTTGATTTCCCGCTTTTTGATTTCCCGCCCTTTAATTTCCCGCCCTTTGATTTCCTGCCCTTCAATTTCCCGCCCTTCGATTTCCCGCCCTTCAATTTCCTGCCCTTTAATTTCCCGCCCTTCAATTTCCCGCCCTTCAATTTCCCGCCCTTTGATTCCCCGCCCTTCAATTTCACGCCCTTTGATTTCCTGCCCTTTAATTTCCCGCCCTTTGTTTTCCCACCCTTTAATTTCACGCCCTTTGATTTCACGCCCTTTAATTTCCCGCCCTTTGATTTCCCGCCCTTTAATTTCACGCCCTTTAATTTCCCACCCTTTAATTTCACGCCCTCCAATTTCCTGCCCTCCAATTTCCTGCCCTTTGATTTCCCACCCTCCCTTTCCTCCTGCATCCTTTGGACTTCAGCTGGTTGTTCCGCACCCGGCTGCTGTAGCTGCGCAATAAACGCCCTCCTTCTGTTCTCCAGTGGCAGTGACCAAGCCTGTCATCACGGCTGGGAGCCCAGGATCCATCTTGCCCAGAGGGAGGAATACCAGCCTGACCTGCCACACCAATGGCTCCCCACCCATTACATACCAATGGCTCAAGGCAGCGCAGAGAGGAAATGAAGACCGAGTCGGTCAGGATGCCGTACTCCACTTTGACAGCCTGCAGGTATCGGACACAGGAACATACTTCTGTGAAGTGGGAAACCGAGTGAGCTCGGCTGTCCAGAGGAGCAATGCCTTTCAGCTAACTGTGAAAGGTAAGGAGTCCAAATCACATATTGGAGTGATGGGTTTTAAGAAACACCATTAAAAAAGCATTTTCCAATAATTTTTTACCCTCTCTATCAGGGGTCCCCAACATGGTGCCCACCAGTACCTTTCCTGCTGCCCCCTAACAGTATTTTCAGAAACAGGGCGAGGCCAGGCAGGGCTTTTGCCTACTTGGACTTCTCATTGACCATCGGAGATCTGATTGGCTGTGCAGGTTTTTTTAAAAAAACACCAAACTGTTGCTTTTGGCAGCAGCTGCTCCCATTGCACAAGAATCTTCCCTGTGTGGCTGAGGAGGAGGTGTGTGTTTGCAAGGAAATGTTTTAAAACAATATGTTCCTTTGAAATAGTGAAGAATTATTCTTGGAGTTATGCATAACCTCACTTCCTGATGTTTTGTGGTTGGCTCCACCATCCTGTGTCAGGATTCCTAAGGTGCCTGCAAGCTGAAAACGACTGGGGACCCCTTCTCTATTTTAAGATTTCAAGTGTTCTTTCCTTGAAAATGGATCATTTCAGCATTCAGTAAACTAAATGTTTTCAGTACCCAGTATTGATCTGAGCCATTTCCCTTCATTTATTATCTCCCACAAATCCATGGAATTGCACACAAGCTGCACCTACACTTCTGTGGCAGGCGCAGCTGCCGCCACCCTCAGATCTGCCTTTGGGCCCTCCGGGTCAGCCGCCTGTCCTTCAGGCCATTCCAGATGTCTGGGTGTGGAGAGAGGCAGGGTGGGGCACGTGGGATGCTGAGCCCCTTCTCAGAGGGGCGGGATAGCTTGGGTGTGCTCAGAGAACCCTTTTCTGAATTATGTCAGAAATGCTATAATTCTGAAAAGCTACAGCAGGTCAGGTTCTGAAAATGAAACAAATAATTTCAAGTGCAGCTAATGACTCTTGTGGATTCGGGGTCCTGATGGTATAGATTGCAGAGGTGTAGTCACTGGTAAAAAAATATCCCCTTTGGGTAAACATCAGATGCATGGTCCAGCAGTATACACACATTTTGTGTACAGAAGGTCCATGGTCCCAGCTGCTGTTGGAGAAGGATCTTCTCTGCCTGTGATCCTGGAGAGCCACCCACACTCATAGCAGACCGTACTGAGCAGACCGTCTGACTCAGCAGGAGGTGGCTTTGTGTATCTTCCTGAAACCAGGCATTTCTCCAGCTGCTCATCAAGTATGGGAACAAGGGGGGCGTGGCAGAGCTGTCGAGGATGGCGTTCGCTTGATTGTACAGCTCTCTGATCCCGAAGTACTCTCCCGCTCTAAAAATCGTCTGAACTACTTAAGCGCTTATAAAACGTTATCACCCGGCATGGGTAAAACTGATCTGATCAAAAATAGAGTGGTTTCTGGTACTTCCCGCTCTATTCAAGATCACTTTGGAGCAGAGACAAACCGGGGCCTGCAAGCTCAGAAGGAGGCCAAAATGGCAGCGGCTGTAAAACTGATGGAGATCACACCACAGCAGACATCGTATTCAACGATTTTAGAATACCTAAAAAATATGGAGGCTAGCCTGGTCGATAGAATTTCCACCCTCACTACGCATGTAGAGGATATCAAGATTTCAGTAGCTCAGGCCGTGGAGAAGGCAGACTCGGTGCTGGAAAACAGCTTAGTGAATCAGGCAAATATAAAGCTTATAAGTGAGAATGTGATTGATGTGAATGACCTCCTGATTGCAGTAGAATGTGGACAAAAATCGATTAATTTAAGATTCCGTGGTTTTCCGGAAGAGGCAGAAGGGACAACAGATTTAATCTCTTTCATAGCCTCATTTATAGCACAGGCCCTTAAACTAGAAGAAGGTGTGTATCCAGTAATTACCAATGCAGCCAGGCTGGGTTCGAAAAAGATCACTAAAAAGAATGTCCCCAGAGACATTATAGCAACCATACTCAATATGAGAGCGAGGAAAAGAGAGGGCGGACCATCGCTTCCTTGAGTGCTCCAGGGAACCATCCCTCCATGAGGGACTTGTTAACAATCTCCCGTAGGGCACCTCGCAACCCCTCGTGGCCTGCTTTAACCAGCCAAGAGGGGCACGGATCAAGGTCACATGTGGTTGGACGCACAGATATGAACAACATGTCCACTTCCTCCAGACTGAGTGGGTAAAAACACACTAAACCCGGCCCCAAAGACGTGCAAGGGGCCTCAAGTTCCCTAACTGTATCAATTGTGGTGGGGAGGTCACGGCGGAGTGCCAAGACTTTATCTGCAAAATAGCTCGCAAAAGCCTCGCAGCCAATGTCCAATTCCCTAACGTTTTCCTTGCCCTGAGGCAGAGTTGTTAAAGACCGAATTACTCTAAATAATTGGGCTGGGCGTGAGCTAGCAGACGCAATCGAGGTCGCATAGAAGTCCCTCTTTGCGGCCTTGACTGCCATCCCGTAGGATCTCATAAGCATCCTATAGGATGTTCTGGACACTTGGTCGCGAGCGCGACGCCACTGTCTCTCTAGCCGTCTCAGTTCCCGCTTCAGCAAGCGCAACTCCTGAGTATACCAGGGCGCTCGCCTATCGTGGGTGCGGAGAGGGCGCCTGGGAGCGATCTCGTCGATAGCTGAGGAGAGCCGGCCATTCCAGTCCTCCACCAGCTCTTCCAACGAGCCGCCAGGGGGCCTCGGATCCCGCAGAGCCATCTGGAGCCGCATAGGGTCCATTTGGCTCCACGGGCAAGCCAAAGTCAGCTCGCCACCTAAACAGGGGCGGGGTGGGACATTCAGACAGGCCCTCAGGGCATGGTGATCCGACCATGGTACTGCCAAGGCAGCAATCCGGTCCACCATCACTCCCGCAGCAAAGATCAAATCGAGCGTGTGACCACCCCGATGTGTGGGGGCTGAAACGACCTGGGAGAGTCCCAGTGCCTCCATGGACGACACTAGGTCCATAGCCCGGCTGGAGGTCGCGTCATCAGCATGGACGTTGAAGTCACCCAGGACAAGCAGCCTTGGGTGCTCCAGCGCCCAGCCTGATACGGCCTCCAGCAGGGATGGCAGGCTATCGGTCGGCGCGTTAGGTGGTCGGTACACCAACCAGACAGCCAAACTCTCCTTAGCCTCCATCATCGCACCGACACCCTCTATGCCCGTGATCTCTACCCGCGGGAGCGCCCTGACGGAGTAAACCTCCCGAATGAAAAGCACCACTCCTCCCCCCCGCCCTCTGGTCCGTGATTGGTGAAGGACCGAGAATCCCGGAGGGGCAAGTTAGGCGAGCGCAACCGTCTCTCCTTCCTGCACCCAAGTCTCGGTCACGCATGCCGGGTCTGCTTGCTGTTCTAGCACAAAGTCTCGTAAGACTTCGGCTTTGTTATTAATGGACCTGGCGTTGCACAGCACCAATGACGGAGGAGGGTTTTTAATCTCGGCCCCACTGCTGGCCACCCTCGGGATGGGTCGAAGGCTGTAAGGACGCCGAGCCGCTCTATTTCTCTGCGCCCTTCGCTCTACATTCTGCCTAGACCCACCGCCATACTTCCCTCTCCCCAAGAGCACTGGAATTAATTGTCCATCCATCAGTCACTGGCAGACTCCGCAATGCTTCAGGCCGCCGACCGATGGTAGGTCCAGATACTCCAGCTACTGCACTTATACAAATCTATCTAAATGCTATCTATGTTAAAACATAATCCTAACTGGTCATGTCAGGGTTTTTTTCTAAACTATATTAACTAAGCCCTGACAGTCCCACCTAACAATCAATTCAACACCATACATAGCGGCACATCACCATTCTCCCCCCCAGCAGACCCACACATTCACTTCCAGCTCCAGCAGTGTTCTTAAAGTGCCAGACAGATAAAACCAGGCTCTTCGCCCCGATGTAATTTTGTTCTCCGGGCACTAGGGGGCTCCCACGACCACAGTTTCCACACCGACCGTCAGGGAGACCCCGCCTCTGCAGGTCTCCCCCCCCCCTCCACCAGGGCACAGAAACCACAAGTTGAGCCCGACCACCAGTCTCACCCAGCAACGGCTCAAAGCTCGCAAGTTCCACCCCGCTGGTAAGTCCTGCTCCATATGTCCCGTTCCACCTGGTCGTGTCCTCCAATCAGGTTCAGGTAGAGGTTTCGTTCCCGGCTCTCTCACCACCGGTCGAAAAACGATGTCCCCGCCAGCTCTCTCAGCGCCTGCTGTGGTCACGCCATCCCCCACCGCTGCCTCTGCACCTTTTCGCACACAGCCCCTATATCTTCCGGGCCAGTCCGGCCTATCCGGCCTGTTGTCCTGTCGTCCCCGCGGTCGCTTTGCAACGGTCGCTATGCAAGTCCCTGCACCACCGAGCCCACGCCGCTGGTGACTCAGCTCCCCTCCCCGGGGCCTCAATGGGGGTCTGGTTACCCGAGGAGCCCCTGTGGTGTTCTGTGAGCCCCCTCGTCCCCTCGCCGTGCCCGTACCACTCATAGAGAGTTTCTCTGCCGAGGCCAGAGCCGGATGTCTCCAGCTCGAAAGCCCTCGCCTTGCTCTCTAGGTCGGTGGTAGAAACTCCGCCGCGCTTCAAACGCGACTCCGCGGCTTCCTGGGGGCTTGGCGTAAGGCCTCACTGCTGGCCCGGTGTTTCAGATATTTCCGCATTCTCCACGTTCTCTGCGTTCTTCGAGGCCCTCAGAAGTAAATATCGGTCTGGAGCTGAATATACCTCACTCTCTACTACTCCTATCTGCTGGACAGCTGATTCTTATCAAAATAATAATTTACTAGACATAGCTTAGAGTACCACGGGGGAGCTCAGCACCAGAGCTTCACACCTTTCAGCAAGCTGCCAATATGTTTTTTCCGTGCATATGAGATGTGTCTACCTCCCCCCTCCCACCTTTCCTTAACTGGCTTGGACTCTTGTGCGCATGTCCCCCCTCACCCTCAAGCGCTCATCATCAACTGCATTCCTTTCCATGTACGCTAGCGTTGCTTTGAAGGAACCTTATCAGCCAAGGCTACAGGTGGTGCGCGTTTGGAGGCTTTTGCTTAGTCTATAATGAACAGTAGTGTGAGAAGAGAAGAATTGTTTAATCAGCTACAACCATTGCTTTCTCAAGGTTTGAGCGCGAGATGCGCCTTCAAGGCGGGCGCGGGAACCATATCTATTGGCCCATGTTATTTTGAACTTGCTTTATTATATTCTGAACAGAACATCTGTTCTAAGTACTTCATGGCTTCAATAAAAGAAAACCTTCCTGCAAGAGTGTATTTCATTGTTTGCTGTGAGTCTGACAACACCCGGTCGCCATCTTCTTCTTCCTCAAAGGCCATGTCTTTGTATGCCTTTAGTTCTGTTTCAATTGTTTTAATGATGTATTTTTGTTGGGGGTTGGTTTAAATGGTTTTAAAATGTGATTTTAGATATATCTGTTTTAAGTTATTAGCCAACTTGGTGGTCTTTGTGAAGGGCAGAAAGATGTCACGTAAATTTTGTAAAATGAAATAAATGTTTAGTTTGCTTTCCTCATTCATGTTTTCTCAAAACTTTTTGGAGGAAGCTACCCGGACGTGTGCCCCTCTCCCTAGCATCCCAAGGCATTCCCAGATAGGCCACCCAAGATTCTGTTATGAATGGAGGAGGTGGCCAAGGCTAATGCCGGGTGCTTTCTCTTGGCAGACCCGTCAGAATTTCCCACTTCGAACAGACCGAGCTCTGGGAATGCGGAGACGACCACTGCTGAAAGAAGTAAGCCCTTCTGAAGGGTGGCTGCTGAAGCAGATGCCAGGCGGGGACTGGCGTGAAGCTGCTGCTGCTGTCTTTGGGTTCTGCAGGCGGGGCTTCCTGGGGCTTTGGGGGTCTGGCTGGCAGCCAGCCTCCAATCTGCTGAAGCAGGTCTCTCTTGGGATATGGCAATCACCTCAGCCACTGCCCGCGCTCCTTTGCACAGGGGCACTCCGGGGACAGGGATCCCCGACACGATCCCTGTGGGAGCCCCGGCGCTGGCCAACACCTTTCCTGGCAGGGGGCAGGCTCAGGCGGGCCTTTTGTCTAGCAAGGCTTCTGATTGGCCTTTGGAGGTTTGACTGGCTGTGCAGATTTTAAGAAATGTTTTGGCGGCAGCCGCCACCACAGCACAAGAATCTTCCCCGTGTGCCTGAAGGTAAGATGGGGCAGCTATCTTGTGGCTGGCTCCACCTCCTGCAGCAGCCATCTTGTGGCAGTTGTTTTGTGGCTGCACCCCCCATGCTGGATCAGGATTCAAAAGGCGCTCACTGACTCAACCCAATGGGGGGCCCTGCTCTAGTGTCAACGTCCCGTTGTGTCAGAGACGCAGCCCTGTATTCTAAAATCTGCCAGTTTAACCGGTTCCAACATCCTGTCTCTGGGGAGTGTGACCAAGAAACAGAACCTGGTTGAGGAGGTGGAGCCTACGGATGCAGGCTTGATGCTTAATGGCACTTGGAGCGTGTGTGGTGCCAGCGGCAGAGAGCGGATGACCCTCCTTCCTGGGGGTGGGTGGGGGTGGAATGATCCCTGCTTCCAAGGGCAACTGCAGGTTATGGGGAGGTGGCAGTGACATCTTCCAGACAGCCTTATTGCTGCAGTCTGGGTTCCTGATGGAATCCGGTTATTTATGAGCTTTCCTCACCCCGTCTTTCACCTCCCTTGCTGCCCAAGTCCACCTCCGCCCCACACCCCCACTCCCCCCCACTCCCCTTCTGCACCCCATTTTCCCCTTTGTTTGTTCATTTGTTTGTTTGTTTAAAATGTTCTTATGCCACCCTTCTACCTGAGCAGGTTCTGCAAGGCGGTAAATATCAAAAAACACTAAAGCGTTAAAATACAAATTATAAAATAATTCAATTAAAAACACATAAGCTATGCTAGAAGCAGTAGACTTTACACAAAGGTCTGTGCCACTTTCAATTATTGTGTTCCTTACTTAGGTTTTTCTCTTTAGTTTAGTTTTTTGGTTCAGGAATTGCAGACCTGAAATATGCAACGCCATATCATACAAGCCATTTAAATTCCTTGTGCATGTTGGATTGGATCCGTATCACACCAGCATGTGCGTTGCGGACCTTTCCCACCTTCCCCTCCCTGGGAGCCCTTTCTGGCCCCAGAAAAGTTTGTTGCTGGAGCTGAGGACTCAACTACCCAAAGTCCCACCTGGGTCAGGCAGGTGCAGTGGGGACGGGGGAACGGGAGGGGGAACAGGACGAAACCCTGAAATCTGCTGGGAGTGAAGCTTCTCTGCCACAGGGAGCCAAAGGGGTGAGCTTCTTTCTTTTCTCTGCCTCACTACAGCCGTCTCAGCCCACATCTGTCCCTCCAGCCTGGCCTTAAATTTCCCTGGGGTCTGCACTGCCGGGGGGCGGGGAGGTGCGGAAGGTCCCAGTTTGCAGGGTCCAGTGTTACAGAGTTTACAGTTTAGCAGCTCCACCGCCTCCTGTGAGAGACACGCTCTCTACCTGTGTCTGCCTCTGCGTCTGGCTTAAACACTTTCTGTTGCTGGCTGTGAACGGCACACAGTTGCAGTGTGCTTTGTAAGAGGGCCACCACAGCCTCACACACGAGCAGGAAGCTTGGCCTGTGGTTGGCCACGACCTTCTGCAGTCTTCAATCAGCACAGCTCCCCAGGTAATTTCTGGCATTCAGAAAGGTGCCCAGCCAATAGAAACCAGTTGTTTCCCCAAAGGAAAGGAGGAAACAAATGACTTATTAGACTTGTACACTAGGTGGGAAAAGGGTATGTTAAGTATGAGACTTCAGGCAGCTCGTTAACAAGTGATTCAGCTTTATTAGAACAAGACAGGAACGAACACAAAACATGAGAGCAACAGGCTCTCTTTTAAACTCTCCAGGCTTGTATAACCACACCCACTGGTGAGTTAAGAACCAATCAAAATATTAACATAAGGACCAATGAAGTCGGTTCCCTCCAGAGCCTCTCTAGGGTTCTGATTGGCCTACTGCGCAGAGTAGCCAATCAGAATGTACTATTTACAATACCAGCCTTAGATGGCTGAACAAATGAAGCTCCGGCATTTATGTACATACACAGCAGGGTGGTGGTGGGGTATTGCTTTAGGTGATGGCATAGAGATCTATTGCTACAGCCCATGCCCATGAAAACAAAATGAGGAGCAAATGGGGTCTTGCTGGGACCGTGTCTCATGGGAGGTGGGAACCTCAAAGAGTGGAGGAAGAGCCCCTTGTCCCAGGGTGCTACTTTGGGACCTGCATCGGAAGCCAGGAAAAGACAGCTCAAGGCTGCAGCCCGGAAGGTGTTGACATACTTCCAACCATTTCCCCCCTCCAAAGAAACAGAAGGGTGGCAGGGGTGGGGGGAAGAGGATGGGACGCGGCTCCAGGGCTTGGAAGGAGAAGTCTTCCTCACTCCCTCCTTGGCAGGTTTGGGGGGAAAGGGCAGTGAACCAGGATCCCTCCCTCCCTCCCTCCCCCACAAACACACACACACGCAAAATGATGTGCCAGCTCTTCCCTTCTAACCCTTATTTATCGATTTAGAGCTCTGGATATTGTCATAGTTTCCCTCCTGGCTCTTCGTGAGCCAGAAGGGGGTGACTGAATAGCATCCTACCCCCTGATCCTCAGATCCTACCTCAAGCAGAGGTGGTTGTTGGACGAAGGTGGCAATATTTGTATACCAGTTCTGTCATCCCACAGTTGCCTCGTGGGTGCCAACCCCTTCTTTTCTGCTGAATCTTTGCCTTGAACCGCAGGTCTGGCTCCAACTTCACTCGAGCCTCGAAGGAATGGCGGAGTTCCAGAGCAGCCTACGGTCAACTCAGGTGTGGGAAGCTGAAAGGAGACGGGGCCAGGGGGGCTGCCCCAGTGTTACGTTGATGCTCCAGAACAGGGGTCCCCAGCATGGTGCCCGCCAAATATTTTCAGAAAGTGGGCGGGGTCAGGTAGGGGTTTTGCCAAGAAAAACTCCTGATTGGCCACTGGAGGCTTGATGGGCTGTGCAGACTTTTAAAAATGTTGCTTTGGCAGCAGCTGCCCCCACAGCACAAGGATCTTCACTGTGGGACTGAAGGGAAGATGTGGCCGCCTTAGAGGGCCTGACTCCACTGCCTGTGGCAGCCATTTTGCGGCTGATCCCCTCGTATCGTGTCAGAATTCCAAAGGGGGCCTTGCTCCACAGGCCCCGCAGGCTTTTACGTTGCTTTGGCTGATTCACCTGCCTCCCTGTGTGCACAGAATGCCAACGCCTTCAGGGCCAGCTGCTCCGGGGAGGTCGGGGCCGTATTATTACTGATCACTTGTGCTGAATGTTTGATACCCCCAGCTGTAAGCATACTGATGTGGAATTAAGTCCAGAGCATATTAATGGACTTTCTTCCAAGGATCTCAACCTTAAAGTGCAGAAGTACTCAGCCTTGCTTTCTTTTCATTATTTTGAGAGCGAATCCCATCACTAAAGCTTCAGATGGTTCACAAAACAGAGTGAACCCTAACCCACGGAAAGGACAGTGGGACATTCCAGGGCTGTTGGCTGGGAAACCCAGACCTTGTGACCAGTTGTGCCCAACAGCCTATCTAAGTGGTTTCCCAGGGACAGGCCATGGCCAACCACCTCGGAACCCCTCGTGCCTTGGAAACCCTGTGGGGCTGCCATGGGTCGGCTGCGACTTGAGGGCACTTCCACCGCCACCAGTTTTGCACCAAGAAGCCTCTAGCAGGGCATCCCACCTAACCCGCCCTCTCAAACAGAAGGGCACGTGCCAGGTGACCTTGGTGGGCAGGTGCCAGGCTCCTGTGGAGAAAGGCCATCCTTAAAAGAGGTGGGCCGGGCCATAATCATTCATGCTGCCTGGCAACAGCCCTGTGAGGCAGGCTGTTGAAGGGTTCCGTTTTCCAGCTGGGATGCTAAGATGCAGGGCAGCCTGCGGAGAGCAGCAGTCGGAACCTTTGATTCGGGGGCCCTCTCCTTTGTGAACCAGCCCCCCCCCCGCCCTGAAGTGTGGCTTCTGCCCTTTTGCTGCAGCTCCTCAGACGGCCAGCCTCCCCTTCGACGTCATCGTCCCGATTGCCGTGCTCAGTGCTGCAGCTGCAGTGCTCCTCGCCATCTTGGTGGTCGTCTTCCATAGAAGGAAGTCCAGGCCTGGTGAGTCCCTGGAAAGGGAAGGGCTGTTCTGGAAATCATGGTGGTGGAGCGGGTGATTCCCAGGAGACACTGGGGGGGGGGTCAGGAACCCTTTGAATAAGGTCACCAGGCTGTATGTAGCGGTGAACATGTTATTTCTTTGTTTCTTTATTTAAACATTTATATCTCACCTTTCCTTGTGGTTCAACGAGGTTTACAAAAATAGTTAAAAACAAATAGAATCCAGGAGTTGGAAGGGGCCATACCGACCATCTAGCCCAACCCCCTCCCCAATGCAGGACCGGCCTGAAGCATCCCTGACAAATATTCACCCAGCCTCTTCTTGAAGGTTGCCAGTGAAGGGGAGCTAAACACCTCCCTAGGCAGCTGATTCCACCTCTGAACCACCCTGACCGTGAAAAAGGTTTTCCTAATATCCAGCCGATACCTTTCTGCATGCAATTTAAACCCGTTGCTTAGGGTTGCCAAATCTGGCCGGGGGGCGGGGAACCCCCCGCTTCCGCGGCCCGATTTCCGCCGCAGGGGAATTCCGGCCCGGGGGGAACCCCGCCCCCCGCACATCGGGACGACTCCCGGACCGCGGCGACGCTCCCCCGCCGCGGGGGGAAGAAGATTTGGCAACCCTACCGTTGCTTCGGGTCCTCTCCTCCGCTGCCAACTGGGACAGCTCCTTCTCCTCCTCCAAAGGACAGCCTTTCAAATATTTAAAGAGTGCAATCATGTCCCCCCTCAGTCTCCTCTTCTCCAAACTAAACATTCCCAGGGCCCTCAGCCTTTCCTCGTAGAGCTCAGTCTCCAGACCAATGCTCCCTCTAAGCTGTGGAGTCTTGTGAGCAACAATTCTACTTTGTGAGCGACTGGCATTAAAGTTGTGAGTGAGTAGTTTGGCTGTTGCATACATTAGTTTGCTCTGGAGCCCTCCTTCCTGAGTGGAGACAAAAATGTGTGAGGTGGAGGCTAGAAAACTGTGAGCTAGCTCACACTCACTCAGCTTAGAGGGAACACTGCTCCAGACCCCCGATCATCCTCGTCGCTCTCTTCTGCACCCTCTCGATTTTGGCCACATCCTTTTTGAAGTGAGGCCTCCAGAACTGCACACACAGGACTCCAGGTGCAGCCTGACCAAGGCAGTATATAGGGGGGCTGTGACCTCCTGCGATTTCGATGCAGTGGCCCTTTTAGTACAACCCAAGACTGAATTTGCCTTTTTTGCCACCGCATCACACTGACTGCTCATATTTAGTTTACAGTCCACCCTTACCCCCAAGATCTCTTTCGCATACACCTCTCCCCAGAAACGTATCCCTCATCCAGTATTTGTGCTTGACATTTTTGTGGCCCAGACGTAGTACTGTGCATTTGTCTTTGTTGAATTGCATCCTGTTTGCAACTGCCCACTTCTCCAGAGTATTCAGGTCTTGTTGAATTTTAACTCTATCTTCTTGGGTGTTTGCTACTCATTAGCAAATTTAATGAGTAGCCCTTCATCCAGATCATTGATAAAAATATTGAAAAGTACCGGGTCCAAAACTGAGCCCTGCGGCACCCCACTGGACACCTCCCTCCAATCTGATGAAACGCCGACCTGAAATTAAACAGAAACCCCACACCTGCCCCCCGTCAAAGATGCCGGCCATTCAAACTTCCTCGAAGGCTCTGGCAATCAAGCAGGCCTTGCATTGCCCCCTGAAGACCTCCAAGGAGGGGACCCCCCTCACCTCTCTCTTCAGGGAGCCTAGGTTCACCAACGTCTGGTTTGAAAAAACCTGGAGATTTGAGGGCACAGCCCAGGTAAGTGAGGTTTAGGGAGGGGAGGGACCTCGGTAGGGTACAGCGCCATGCAGTCTACTTTCCAGAGTAGCTGTTTTATCCAGGAGAAGTGGAATAAATGTTTTAAATAAATGAACAATAAATAAATATGCAATTTATGTAGTCTGGAGGTCAGTTGTAATTCCAGGTGATCTCCGGTCCCCACCTGGAGGTTGACAACCCTAAGGGAGCCCCTTCCACAGAGCCGGAGGAGCCACGATGGAGGGTGGAGGAGGCCCGGGCGCTGGTCGATGCCAGACGGGCCACCCCCCGGAGTGGTGGGAGAGCCAGCAGAGGGCGGCCTGGTGACCTTCAAGTCTGTGGGTCAGGAAGGGCTTTCAAGGCCATCACCAGCGCCCTGAACTGAACGCGGAAACAGACCGGCAGCCAGATGTAGCTGTTCCCCAATGGGCAGCAACTGCTCCTGGTGGCCAGACCCTGGCAGTAGTCAGGCTGCTGCATTCGCAATCACTTGTAGATTTTGGATTGTCTTCAAACAACCATTTGGAAGATGGCCTTGGTTTCAGTGATGCAAACTTTGAATGCCACACAGCAGATTTGCAATCTATGATCACCTGTTTTTTCTTGACCCGAAGTTTCTCCCTCCTGGCCAACAACTTGTGGCTGTGCAGCAGGGATGACTTACTTCAAGAGGAGATGCTTTCTGCAGTTTTGTGCTGTATATGTAGGAACATAAGTCCAGTCTGTACAACCCTAAATGTAGAGGACACTTCCAAGCCCAACAAGAGCAACTTGCAGAGCTGAGAGGAATCCAAAGGGAATCCTTGCCTGAAATGAGGCCATTTTCTTACCCATGAGTCCCCAGGGGATAGAGAGAGGCTTTCCTAATGCAGGGCTCTGGCCGAGGCTTTCTCACCTTCAAGAGTCCTTCCAAAACCAGCATCGGTTCAGCTGATGTGGAGAACAAGGCTTGGCTCAAACGGAAGAACAAGGGGGCTGGTGACGGAGGCCCTCTGAAGGTCTCCTGGAGCCTCATGCTCAGAGAGGAATGTCCAGAGTCAGGGGTCGTTTAGTAGAAAAAGAGCTAGGGGAACTCATTAGCATAACTCATTAGCATATGCCACACCCCCTGACATCACCGGAAGTATGTCATAAGGCCACACCCCCTGACATCACCGGAAGTGTGTCATAAGGCCACACACCCCGCCCCCAACGGTCCCGGCCGCCGGCGCCGGCCTTGCAGCTCCACTGCTGAGCCCCATGAGGGGCCCGGCGGTGGACCTGCAAGGCAGGTGGGAGTGCGAGGAAGCCCCGCGAAGCCCCTCCCTGGCCCCAGGCAGGCAGGGGTGGGGAGAGGCAGGGAGGAAGCAACTTACCCTCCCTCTTCTCCTGCCTCCTCCTGGCTGAATGAGGGCCGGAAGCAGGGCTGCCGGAAGCAGGGGGCGGGGCTTCGTCATGTGCCCCGCCCCCTGCACCTCACCCGGGGGAACTGCGATCCCCCGCGATCCCCCCCGAAATGACCTCTGTCCAGAGTATTTCGTTCTCAGTACCCCACACCTTGCATAGGTGGCAACAAGACATCTGTGGAGGCTCTTTCAAAGATTCATTTCAGCAAAATGTATTGATTCTGTACTATCTTTTTAAAACAAAAATCAATGTATTCTCTTCAGAGAAAAAATTTGCCCTGGAAAATGTATTGAGGAAACTCCCCAGATATCGTGAATGTGTCCCCCTTCCCGATTTTATTTTTTGCTGCTGTTTCGACTTATAGCTACTGACTGTTTTTTAAATTTTAAATTTTATAAATAAACAAAAAAAAATTAAAAAAAAAAAGATGTCCACGGGGCATTTGGTCAAAGGAAAGATCTGTGAGGAATACCTGATCTCTTCCCCAACTTTCGGACAGTTGTTGTTTTATAGACAGTTAAAATTCTTGCTTGCCAAAGAGGTACAAGGAGGGATTTGGCTTCCCAAAAACAGTGGATTGCATCGCAGAGGTACCTCTGAGCCTGCTTGCCGGGGAGGGCGGGAGAGAAATCCCACTGAGTACATAAGTAATTAAAAATTATTATGGGAGAGGCAGGGGTTTCCACTGTGCACGGGGTGGGGGGGGGGGGGGGGGGGAGGTCCCCGGCACCATGATTTTACTTCCAGTGTGACCCAGAAGTGACATCATGACATCAGGGTGATGTCTCTATGGAGTTTTGGCTGGATGCTATGAGTTTTGTGTGGATGCTACAGTGTTACCTGCTGTGAACATTACTTCTTAGTCGCACCTGGAGCAATGTCAACACGCCGGGGATGGCTGTGTCTCCCCCTTCCCCCCCGCCTTCCAGCTGAAGGGGCAGTGGTCTCTCAGGGTGGGAGGTGCCCCGCCCCCAGTGGGGAAATGGCAGCCCTGACGTCCAGCCATCTCAGCACGGAGCAGGCACAGGGGAGGATGCCGTGTGTTGCCTCGGTGCCAGGGGTCATTTTGTAGAAAAAGGGGTGCAGGAGCTCATTAGCATAACTCATTAGCATAACCTATTTGCATATGCCAAACCCCCTGACATTACCGGAAGTGTGTCAGAAGGCAACACCTACTGCTCAGGCTCCACTGGACTGTTTTGGATTGCTAGCTATTGGGGGGGGGGGCGTGCAGATCTGTCCTCGCAGAGGAGGGAGAGCTTGTACCTGAATCAAACTTGGTCTTAAAGGTGCCACTGGACTGTTTTGGGCCAGGGGGCTGGGGAGAGCTCTGCAACTTACCTGGCTGTTTCTTGCTCTGACTGAGGGCTGCTCGGAGCAGGGGGTGGGGCTTGTTGCATCTGCCCGCCCCCTGGGCTCTTTACTGCCGGAGCTCCGCTCCTGTGCGCTCCTGCAGGAAATGACCTCTGTGCCTCGCTGTGCTTGGTATCCCCTTCCCTCCCAGTCCACAGTGCTGCCTTCGTGCCAGGGAGTGTGTGCCGAGCACGTGTGCCCCCAAGCCCAGCAGGTGCAGCAGCAGCGAACAGAAACCTCTGCAAAGGTAGACTCAGAGTCCGCCCCACATAAGTGAGCCGTTTTGTGACTGAAGGATACAAACAGACACCTGTCAGGAAACTTCCCTTCATGCGATCTGTGTGGAGTGGCTGGCTGAGAAACAGCCCTGTCAGTTCCGTATCTGCTGCGTCCCTCTTTCCTTCCCCCCTGGCTTCCATAGACTCTAAGCCAGACAGCCGGGCCTCTGCAAGACAGAGAAGTCTGAATGAATATTACCAACCATCATAATTTTTTTCAATTTGGATCCATTACAATAACTATAAAACATCAAGAAATAGAGCATTTTCTGTTCATTTTTCCATTTGTTTATGTCCAAATATGCAAATCCCTAACAGGAAATAGTTTTTTTCAGAGAGCTGAAGGATGGCATCGAACCATCTGTCCTGGGTGTGCACATTGACTGTTTCTAGATATTTTTAATAGTGCCTCGAAAACTTACAAAACTGGGTCTGATCAGACAGTCCTGCAGAGCTCCCCCCCTCCCAGCATTCTTTAAAACTTTCTATCTACAGCCCATTGTCAGAAGATGGTGAAGAAGAGGTTCAGTCAGCCAATCACCAGCGGCACCAATGCCATGTGACTCAGGAGAACACGAGGCGGGGGACAGACGTGGCACATTTTGGATGGGTTTTTTTGCTGCATTCTGAATGGTTAAGCCTTCCCCCCTTGAGAGGGTTCCACAGTCCTTCTGGTTTTCGCTTCACATTTTCAGTGGATGCTGCTTGCTGTTTTTAAAGGAATTTGCTTGCTGAGAGAAAGATTTTCACATAATGCTCTGCTGTTTCTTTTTCAGACCACACCTATGGAGTGACCTAGTAAGTAGCTCTTGGGCTTTGCAAGGTGGAAATGTTGGATGAAATGTTGCACAAAATTTTAACAGGCAGCTGAGGGGTTGTGAACGGTTCACAAGACATTTTTTCCTCCACTGGAAACAATGGAAGATGGGGGCACTCCCTTCTGGGGCCCATAGAATTGGCCCCCGTGTCCAAATTTTTTTTACGTTGGGGGGGGGGGGGGTTGAGGAGAGGCACCAGCAGCTATGCTACAAATTTGGTACATCTACCTAAAAAACAGCCCCCATAAGCCCCAGATACCCCCAGATCGATTCTCCATTATAGCCTATGGGGCCTGTTGACTATAATAGTCCCCATAGGCTAAAATGGACCTGAGAAAAAAAATTATTGTCTTCTTTTTTTGCACTCCCCTATTATGCTTTTCAGTATGATTTGTAACCTCCCCAGGAAGCCTTGTGATAATGGCTTGTTTCCAAATACACAAGGGGCGATTCTGCGTTGGCTTTTCCCTCTGTTGTTCTATGAAACTCACGTTGGAACAGAAATTCCCCTCCCACATTGCAGGCTGCTTTCACTCTCTTTGATCATCGGGCTTTATGGTACTCTCTGCATAGATGTATGGCCGTTCAGGGGTGACTTTGCAGTCAGCACGGCCTTGCCCCCCAGGGGTATCTGAATGCGGTTTTGAGTTGCACCTCTTCCTCAGTGTTGAGAAAACGTGGAGCGAATGCCAGATGCAGAACCAGCCAAAGAGGCACTCCTACAGGGCAGTAGATCCACCACCCTACTTCATCTTCCAGAGAGGGGGAGAGAGAGAGATTTTGCGCCCCCAAGTGTGCTTCTACCAGCTCACAGCCATGTCTGGTTCCCCCCCCCTCTTCTGGACTCTAAACACATACTCACCCCCTCCCTTCAGCTGAAAGGGGTCATTTTCTTCAAGCCCAGATGGGTGCCCTGGACACAGTCATTTCCTGACACTTAAGGCCCTTTGAGTATGTGACTACAACCATTAATAGACCATAGCCTCTGGGTCTCACTTGCGGCCAAACCCAGAGGACAGAAGCCATTCATACTCACTGGACCCCAAACCCACCACAAGTTGTTTCTCTGACACCTTTAAGACCAACAAAGTTTAATTCTGGGTATAGGTTTTCGTGTGCAGGCACACACGTTGGTCTTCAAGGTGCCTGACTGGACTCAGACTTTGATCTGTTGCTTCAGACCAACAAAGCCACCCACCTGAATCTATTTCTCCAACTGAACCTAAATTAAGGCAACAAAACTGCTCAGTATAGTAGCAGCTCAGTGTTGACAGGTCTCCTCCAAATAAGCACAGACTCCTAATGCCCACGTTTTCTCCAGCTCCTGCACTGCTGCTCAGGTCTCCTCTTTTGATGAAACATATTTTACATCTGGCTGGTGCAGGCAAAACTACGCAGCTACGATTTTTCACAAACTTGAAATAAAAAACAAGTTTGACTTTTCTGTTTTTGAAGAATGTCCAGATAGTACTTCTCAAAGTCTTCTTTTATGAATGTCTTAAAAATTATATCATAAGACTTAATTTTTAGTTATAATGTTAAGTGTCAAACCTTGTTTGTCTCCCTGGCTTCTTTATCCTGCAAGCCAATAGAGCATCTTTAAGTGAGATAGCAGGAAAAAGCTGAACTGGGAACAAAAAGATTCAGATATTAGCGACTCAGTTCAAGTATGAAGGTTTTGCTCTGACGTCGCTCCCCCCTCCTAGATGGTTTGTTCCAAAGTTCACAGAGTCTTTTGTTCACAATCTAAATTCGGCTGCTTTTCATCTGCTCCTAGTTTGCTTGGTTTCACTTTCTTGCTTTTAAAAAAGCTCTCTCGATATTTGGGAACATTTTTGCCAAAATGTTTGGGTGAAACAGGCTGTCAGGGTGCTATTTTATAATGCTGGATCTGTGCTAAGAAAACAAGAATAGGGAATCAGGAAATGCAAATAAGGGACTGGGAACCAACTTCAGCCCCATGCTGGAGAAAGGCGTCACTTCCCAAGGAGAATTTATTTCTTTATTTACTTCATCTGTGCCTAGGGTTGCCAGCCTCCAGGTGGTGGCTGGAGATCTCCCGCTATTACAACTGGTCTCCCGGCGACAGAGATCAGAGTCCCCCTGGAGAAAACGGCCACCCCAGGCCCTCCCCAGGCCCCGCCCTCCCCAGGCTCCACCCCTTCCCAGCCCAGAACTAGCAACCCGGCTTGTACCTCGCCTGCTGTTTATTACTCTGGTTGCAAAAACAGCAAGAAGTAATAAATAAATGAATTTGTACCTCGCCTTTCTCCCCAACGGGACCCAAAGCAGCTTTCCTCTGTTTTATCCTCACAACAATCCTGTGAGGTAGGCTAGGCTGAGAGAGTGTGACTGGCCCAAGGTCACCCAGCCAGCTTCCAGGGCACGAGTGGGGATCTGAACCAGGTTGCCGAGGGTCCTCTCCCATCACTCCATTCACGACACCACCCTGGCTCCTCTCGTACCTGCCTCATCATCAGCCAGGTCTTCAGGTATTTACAGAAATGTAAAAACCTGCAAACCCCGTTTCCCTGAGGCAAAGGAGGGATGTCATGACTGGTTTCCCACTTTCAAGGTATATTTCAGTTCACTGGGGGGAGGGACCAGCCCCCACCCCCACAGCCTGTATGCCGGCTTCTCTTTCAGTCACACACTTGGGGAGAGGCAGCGGGCCGGAGTAATCAGACTTTTACTGGCTAAATTGTAGCCTGCTTCCCTTTGTGCCTTTTTGAACCGGAGCCACAGATCTCAAATCCTGTAGATGGGAGGTCTTGCAGATGAGGTGCCCTGCAAATTGCGCCGTTATAGGAAGGGGCAACCCACCCCTTAGGGTCAGCTCTACAAACCTTCTCCACTTATTCTTGCATAGATCAAGCCATGGCATGGTCCTAACCTTGGCTTTCTCTTTCAGCAACAATCCTGTGTCTCTCGCGAGGGAAGAAGGCAGGCTTGCTGTGACCAGGATGTCCAGGTGTGAATCTGAGCAAGTCACCCCAAGGGTTGAGAACAACTACACCACGGAACCTACCCAAAGCTCTGAATATGTGCACATGGACACAAAGTCAGACAGCGACTACGAGAAGCTTGTGCACAAGATGGAGTCGGAGTACGAAGTGGTAGACACTCAGTGGGGGGCTGGCGTGGCCACATGGAGGCCAAGCCAGTGATGGACCTTCAAGCATGCGGCAAGAGAGGAACGGCCCTCTTCTGCCGCCCTTTCCTCGGGGGCAGCTATTAGCTTCTGTCACTCGAGGTTCACCCTCAGAATCTCTTCATTAGAGCCAGCCGTCCCATGAGTCTGTCCAGACGCGCAAAGCCAACTGAACTCCCAGCTGCCATGACAATGGGCTGTCCACGAGTGCCTGGAAGAAGAGAGCCCGTGGCCCAGACCCAGCCTGGCGCCATCCAGGCGGAGCAGCAGGCTTCTGCACGTGTTCCCAAAGGTGGGTGGGGAAACGCCCCAGCTCAGCTCTCTGGCCAGAGCGCCATGGCCACAGCACCAGCCACGAGCTGTGTCTTCGGGGTGGGGGAGCAGCCCTAGGCAGGGCTCTGCCCTTCAGGCCTCTGGGGTCAGTCAGCTCGGAAGGGCCCAACCTTTCTGAGCCTGCGGGCACCACTGGAATTCTGCCACGTGGTGGTGGTGGGCACAGCCACAAAATGGCTGCCATGGCAGATGCAGCCAGCCACAAGATGGCTACGGCAGGAGGCGGAGCCACACACACACAGAGGAAGCTGAAGAGCAGGGGGAAGGAGGGATAAATCTTTAAATATCCGGGCCGCTGCCACAGCTGGAAGGGCTCTACTCCTGAGCCTGCCTCCACTGCTGAAATCCCAGGACCCCCCCTCAAGCCCTGCCCCTGTTGTGGGTTCTGTTCCCAAGTCATCATCTGGCACCACTGACTCGACAGCACCAGACCTTTCCCCCTTCAGGACAGGCGACACGTGTGTGGTTTCATTTCCCGTTCCTCATTTCAGGCCTGTCAGCCTTCCTACTCGCAGGTCTTTTCTAGTCATTTTCAATTAGGCACTTACTTAAGGCAAGACAATTAGTCTTGGTCAACAAGCAGACACAACGATGGTTGGATTGTCACCTGCACACGGCCGTGCTACTTTTGCAAACGAGCTGCCTGGTCTTCTTTCCCTGACGCTTCTCTCCCTCGGACTGTCTGTTGGGCAGGGCAATAAAGTTACTTGTTGGTTAAGTGCTTGTCTCCCTTCCACCTTTTCTTCTCCGGGGTTAATGTTGCCAGATTTGGGCTTGTGTGCGCATCAGACTTCAAAGGTCTCCTCCTTGCACCCAGAACATTTCAGGGTTTTTCATGGACAGAGGGTGCTCTCCATGAGACAGGCCTGACACAGGGGATGGGTCTGGGTGGCACCGCGTAGGTCCCTGACCTGGGTGGCCCAGGGGAGTTCGGCCTTGTCCTATCTGGGTAGCTAAGAAGGGCTGGCCCCGGTCAGTGCTTGGACGGGAGGCCACCCAGGAAGGAAGCCCAGCAGGGCTGCTGCACAGATGCCGGCAATGGCAAGCCACCTCTGAGCGAGGGGTCTCCAGCAGTCAGCGGCGACTTGACGGCACTTTCCACCCCCGCCAGGTAAGTACGGCTGTAATTGCTAAGCACGTGTGGAGTGGGGCCGCAGTTCAGGACAGAGCAGGAAAGGCCGATAAAAGTCCTGAATGGCAAAGAATACTCCCCTCACAGGACCAGGACTTCGAATCTCGTGAGGCTTATAAATTGTGCGGTGTGGTCCTTGCACAGTGGGACACATGCACAGGCCTTGCTCTGAGGACACTGGCCCTGTGGGGGAGGAGGGGAAGAGCCGTCCTGCACCTGCACCTGCACCTCTTCACCCCCGTCACAGGTCAGGGCCAGTGGGTACCTTGCAAGCCTTGGTGCTGAAACTGAGCTGGAGTTCATGATGTGCTGGAGACAGGAAGGCATCACAAGTTACTTCCCATGCCATTAAATAGAATCAAATGTCAGAAGAGTATGAAAAGCAGCACCCCCCCAAAAAAAAAACAACCCCTCAATGATCCTGCATTGAGCAAGAGGTTGGACTAGATGGCTTCTGTATGGCCACTTCCAGCTCTGTGGGATTCTGTGAGAGGATGGAGAGCAGCAGCTGCCCCCTCGGGTGCAACGAACATGAAACTGAGCAAACTCTAGACGATGGTGGGAGACAAGAGGGCCTGGCCTGACGTGGTCCGTGGGGTCGCGAGGAGTCGGATTCGACTGTGCAACTGAGCGCCTTATTTGTGTTGATAATTACTGGTTTTACTATTTTTATGTTTTTATGTGTGGGCACTTGTTGCTCTTTGTAAGCCGCCCTGAGCCTGCTTGCGGGGAGGGTGGGATATAAGTGCTAAAATAAATAAATAAATAAATAAATAAAAAACTGAACAACAACAGTCCATGTCCTTTATTTATTAATTTAAACATTTCTACTCTGCCTGTCCTCAGGGTTCAAGGCAGCTTAGAATAATAGTTAAAAACATCCCCAACTAAACCCCAAATCTCCCCTTCCCCTTTCCCCGTTCAAAGACGCCTGCCACTCAGCGCCCACCTCGAAAGCCCTGGCAAAGAGACAGGCCTTGCCTCACCTCCTGAAGACCTCCAAGGAGGGGACCCCCCGCACCTCTTCGGGGAGCCCCTTCCACAGAGCCAGAGGGGCCACGATGGAAAAGGCCCTGGGCTCTGGTGGATGCCTGAGTGGTGGGGTAGCCTGATAGGGATGCCAGCCTCCAGGTGGGGCCTGGGGATCCCCTGGAATTACAGCTCATCTCCAGACGACAGAGATGAGAGAGAATGGCTGTTTGGGGGGGAATGGGCTCCATGGCATCATCCCCCACTGAGGTCCCCTGAGCTCCCCAGGCTCCACCCCCAAATCTCCAGGAGTTTCCCAACCTGGAGCTGGCAACCCTGCCGGTGGCCAGAGAGGACCTGGCATCCCTAGAGAGCCAACAGATGGCCGCTTGACGATGCGGTTGGCACACAGGATGGTCTCTAGAAAGGCAGCCAGAGACTCTAAGCAGCCAAACCCTGTCAGGACAGGAACAGTTTAACAAGGCTTGTAAAGTCTCATCAAGCTGTGGCTGGTGCCTTCTTCCCATGCTTGAGGGTGGTGTCATTCCTTATATATGGGGCCTCATGTCTGGCGGCCTTCCTGAGGCTTTAGAAAATACAGCGAAGGGAGAGAAAGGTCCCTCCCCAGAGCGCCCCTCCCTCGCCTTCACCGTCCCTCCCCGTGGGGGCTCCCGTCCCCCCCACGCCCAGCTGGCCCGGCCTTCCCCCCAGTGCAGCTCCCTGCCGCGCCTTCCGCAGAGCCCCTCCCTGCCTCACTCCCTTGCCCTGCTCCTGCCCGCCACGATCCCTGGAGTTGCTGGGTGCTACTTCTCGGCACTTAGACCACAGAAGCTGGGGGGGGGGGTATTTATTTCCTTCATTTGCACCCCACCTTTTCACCCGGTGAGGGCCCAAAGCAGCTCGCCTCATTCTCCTCTCTCCCATTTTATCCTCCAACCACCCTGGGAGGTCGATAAGGCTGAAAGAACGTGACTGGCCTGAAGTCACCCAGCAAGTTTCTGTGGCAGAGCAGGCTGACTTGAGCCTGGGTCTGCCAGATCCTGGCCTAACCACTACACCATGCTGACTCCTGCCAGTGTGTCGCGTCCTGAACTGGGTTGCCACCTGACCCCTATTTCAGCAGCCTGCGCCGTTTCCCCACTCCTCAGCTGCTTGCCAGTTCAGCCAATGAAAAAGCCCCCGAGACCCGAGGAGGCAGAAGCTCTTCCAACACTGTGAGGTCACCCCTGTTATGGGGTGGGGGGGTTTCTCCCTTCTGGCACTCCTCCCCTGTCCCATATCCCCTTGGTGTTGCGGTGATGCCGCTTGGTCAGGGCAGCCGCCGGGGAATGGACTGAGACCTGCAGCCTCACATGCCCCTCCTCCCGTGCCAGTCAAGGCCAGTCCCGCCCAGTGATGGGGAGGGGGGTCTAGTTTTTCTCAGAGGTGCCATTATAGACTGGCTCCTTCAAGCAAGAAAAAAGATTCCTACATGGAGAGACACAGGAAGCCAAGGAGGAGGCAAGGCTAGGCCCCCTGCCCGGTGGGTGCGGGTGGTGGGTGGTGACGGAAGAGCTTTCTGTCACAAAAGCAACCCCTCCTTGAAGCAGTCAGCCTTCCTTTCCCATGAGGCCACGTTTGCCCTCTTCTGTGAGGAGGTCACACCTGGGCTGCTCCTGGGGGTCCTGCGGCCCAGATCAGAACCGGGAGCCCGGAAGGAAGAAGGAGGCACTCTCACACAGAATCTCTGTCGCTAAATTTATTTATTCATTAGGCTTTTATAACACCATCTCAGGCTCAGGACAGTATACAACAGTTTAAAACAGGAAAACGTATTACAATACAGTCTACTAATATACAGAAGCTGTGTGATGTCATAAGACCTGTATGGCACCAGTGTTCCCTCTAAGCTGAGTGTGAGCCAGCTCACAGTTTTTTAGCCTCCAACTCACACGTTTTTGTCTCAGCTCAGGAAGGATGGGTCGAGGGCAAACTGATTTATGCAGCAGCCAAATGGCTCGCTCACAACTTTAGTGTCAGCAGCTCACAAAAGTTTTGCTCACAAGACTCCACAGCTTAGAGGGAGTGTTGGTTATGACGCCATAATACACAAACGCCTGACCCCCCCCCCTTAGGAGAGAGGGGGGAAGAGTGAGAAGGCCCCGCAAGGAGTCCCACAGGACCCTAGGGTTGCCAAATGGGGCCGGGAGCGGGGAATCCCCCGCTTCGGAGGCCTAATTTCCGCCGTGGCGGAATCGGCCCCCGGGGGAACCCCGCCCCCGAAGCTGCGTCACCGTATAGTTCCCCCCCGACGAGCTTGGCCACGTCCTCAATGTCAGCAACGTCGCACGTTACTTCCACCGGACCTCCCGGGCGCCGGCACGATGCCACTTGGCAGGGACACACGTGCATCTCACAGCCAAGCAGGCACGGGACTTGGACAGATATTCAGCAGTTTTCTTTCTGGCCATTCCACGCGGTTTGTTTTTCCTGGGCTTGATGCGTTTGGGAAGCAGGGGATTTTTTCATCATCATCATCATCATCATTCCCGCTTCTCATTCACCCCCCCTCACAGAGCTTCCCAGGCTTTGCCTCAATCCTCCCCACACCTGCTCTGCTTCAGCACTTTGGGAGAGATCTCAGCAAATCCTGGATGACGGTTGTGTGAGAAACGTGTGTGCTGGTTTGTAGACAGGAGATTCAGTGGCTGAATTAAAAAAACCCAAAAAGGTGGGGGTGGCCCAGGGGAGGGAATGGCTGCTGCTGGAGGGACTGGGGGGGGCAGGGAAACTGCGGGGGGGGGGAACGGGACACCTGCCACGGGGGAGCCCTGCTGACACGACACTCTCTTGGTGGCCACAGCTAAACCACACAGGCCTGTTCCTGGGCAGGAAATTTGGCTGCTTTGGGGGGTGGGCTCTGCGGCATTACACCATGTTGAGGTCTCTCCCTTCGGAATCGGCCCCCGGGGAGGCTCCAGTCCCAAATCTCCAGGAATTTCCCAAGCAAGAGTTGGCAATGCTCCCTCTAAGCTGTGGAGTCTTGTGAGCAAAAATTCTACTTTGTGAGCTACTGCCATTAAAGTTGTGAGCGAGCAATTTGGCTACTGCATAAATTAGTTATCTCTGGAGCCATCCCTTCCTGAGGTAAGACAAAAATGTGTGAGCCGGAGACTAAAAAACTGTGAGCTAGCTCACACGAACTCAGCTTAGAGGGAACCCTGGTCTGGAGTGGCTCTGGCAGATCATGGGGCTGCAGAATGAAACCTACAGATGACCCCAACTGTCAAGGTGCTAAAGGGGGGTGGGTGTGTTGAACTGCCAGCCCTGCGAGGCAAGATGGAAGGTGGCCCTCCTTGCCTAGCGGCCTTCAGTCTTCTTCTGTCGCCACTCGCTGGAGTGAAACTCCAGGCAGGTTCCTGTCTTTGCGGGCCGTTCCTCCGTGGCTGCTCGGTGTTGCAGGGCAAATGCCGCACTTTGTATATTTGACAAACTGACACTGCCACACTGAGTGTCGAACTCAGCTCGTCAAATACACGGAGAGCAGCACTGCAGGACTCTGTGGCACGTGGCTGGCGGCACCATCAGCAGACGGACATCGAGACTGCAAAACAAAAGGCAGAGAGTTCAGGGAAGCGGGTCCTTTGTGGGGCCAAGCGCTAGTCTGACCTCGAGCCTGACCTGCACAAAAGGAGAACTCCAGGAGGAGACGCAGATGAGCCGGGCAGCTCATGCATCTGGTGGCTCGTGGCACACGTCTCCCTCGGTCTGGCCGCCTTCCCTGCTGCTTTGGGGGGCAGACGGGATAACTGGGGCTCAGCACGCTTTGTTCACTGTCACCCTCTGCAATCTCGCCAGATCCTCTCACAGAGCGCAGGACGGGAAAAGCCACACTTGCCAATTTCTGTCTTATGCAGCTATTGAAGGTCCGTGGATCTCCTTACATTAAACTGGCATGAGCACAAATCTGGACTGTGCCCTGCTGTGCTACAGTTGTGCAAAACCCATATTTAGGGTTACCAGCCTCCAGGTGGTGGCTGGAGATCTCCTGGGATTACAACTGACCTCCAGACAACAAAAACCAGTTAACCTGGAGAAAATGGCTGCTTCAGAAGGTGGACTGTAGGGCATTGTACCCCACTGAGGCTCCTCCCCTCCCTAAACCCCGCCCTCCTCAGGCTCCACCCCCAAAGTCTCCAAGCTGGCAACCCTACAGTTTGGTGTAGTGGTTAAGTGCACAGACTGGGAGAACCGGGTTTGATTCCCCACTCCTCCACTTGCACCTGGCTGGATGACCTTGGGCAAGCCACAGTTCTGACAAGAGCTGTTCTCTCAAGAGCAGTCCTCGAAAGAGCTCTCTCAGCCCCCACCTACCTCACAAGGTGCCTGTTGTGGGGAGGGGAAGGGAAAGGAGTTTGTAAGCCACTCTGAGACTCCTTCGGGTAGTGAAGGGCGGGGGATGAATCCAATCTGCCTTCTTCTCTTAGTGAAAGGAGGTTAAAAATCAAATCTGAAAAATATGCATTTGACCTCTTTGTCAGATGCATGTGTGCGTAATGTGCCATCAAGTCGCAGCCGATTTATGGCGACTCCAGCAAGGGGCTTTCAAGGCAAGTGAGAAGTAGAGGTGGTTGGCCAGGGCCTCCCTCTGCAGGGTCTTCCTTGTCGGGCTCCCTTCCCAAGCACCAGCCCTGCTTAGCTTTCAGGATCTGACGAGGCTGGACTAGACCAGGCTGCCTTTCCTCCATACAGATGCCTACACTTAGGCAAACACGTGATGAGGACTAATAGATCACAATGGTTTTAGTAGTCAAATTCAGTCCCTGTATTTGATAACAATAATGTGAAATATCTTCAGATTCCTGTTTGCAGAACAACTTATAAGTACCTGTTTATAAGAATGACATTTCAATAATGGTATTCCCTATTCTCCTTATATTATTAGTTTTGTTTAAGATACTCAGCTATATATTTTGTTGCAACCAGAGCTTTTTTAAAAAGGAAGGTATATAAATAGGGTACTGAATTTGGAAAAGCTGACATGTAACATTATTGCTTTAAAGCTCATCCACAAGATATTTAAATCTTTATTTTATTTCTTCCTCAAGCTGAATTTTGAAAACAAAATTTGAAAATGTCTGCAAGTCATACATTCAGAATTTTTTCCTGACATCTTGCTGAATTTTAAATTTAAGCAGATTCCAAGTGAGAAAACGTGTTTCAGAGCGGGACAAGACTATTTCTAAGAGGGGGTGTTTCCTTTTCGGCTTGCCCAAGGGGGCAGTGAGCAGAGTGGCTCTCAGGGCCGGCAGCTCTGCTTCCACGGATCCCGCTCCTGGGCCACCTCTGCCCCTTGCGTGGTGGGTGGGAGAGCGACTGTGGACTGACGGACTGACTCGGGGAATTTGCATGCTGCCTCCCCAGAACCTTCAAAATACCAGTTAAAACATATAAAATACAAATCAAAGCACAGTTTGAGAAGTCATCTGGAGAAACAGTTTTAAGCCTGACACTAGCCAGGACAGCAATGTCATGCGTCCCATCCAGCAGGAGAAGAAATGGGTGCTGCCAGTTCTAAGAACTTTTTAATCCCAGGGATTCGGTGGGAGAGATCTGAGCATCTCTTTGGCCTCCCATTAAACCCAAAAGGACTGCTTGGTCAAACTACAAGTGACAACGGGCATGGATCCATGTTGTTGTTCTGTTAAAATTTGACGTGAGGCCCCGATCCATACTGGGTACGTGGCAGGGCAGCCCCAGGAGCTCTCATCCCTGCCTCCCCGTGTGCCTTTTCGGGTGCAGAAACAGGGGCCCACGGCCGGGAGCAGGACATGCAGGGCACTGTCCCCCGGCCGAGAGAAGGGTCTTGTGCCTCCTCCATTCATCTCAGTGGGGTCTCTACAGAACCCCCCAAATCGCGCGTGCCCTGGGGCCAGCTCCGTCTCTCTCCTACTTTGCCCTCCTCCATAACACTTCAATCAACTGTCTCTGGGGGGCCCGTCATCTGGGGTTCCTAATCAAAGGGGGGAGGACCCCCCCCATAACAGTGGTGACCTGACAGTGTCGGAAGAGA